GGAATCCTACCCTAGTGAGGTGGGTCTCCCTCGGGAACGTCAGGCACCAAGTTACGTTCAGCCGCCACTCATGTGAACCCAAACATGTGAGCATAATTTGGAAAATATCATTTATACTGTGCGTCTTTGTACGTGTCTTGACATTTACAAACTGCGATAAAACCGACATGAGGGAGGAGGGAATAGAAAACAGGGCGAGAATAATTTGAGGTAATGTTTTGCTTAGTGAACAGTATTACCCAATCCTGGATGTTGGAGCACTGGGAAGGAGGTTCTGGCTCTGGGGCTGCAGAGAGGGTCTGGGTTTCATTTTTCGGCAAGTGCAAGCCAAAGGAGAGCTGCCAAGTACAGATTTCGCTCTCAACACTTCCTGCTCTTCCTATTCTGGCTCGGGAGGAGACAAGCTTCACTCAAACGTCACGTCGACTTAGGCAGGGGTGGCCAGTTTATTCTCCCATTTCTCAATGGGTGTCAGAAACTCACATCTGTCACATGAATTATACCAAACACAGCCATAAATAAAATGCTGAGATGGAAATATTGTTAAGCCCCAAATAAAAAGGTCTGCACAGGTGTTTGCATGCCTGTGTAAACATAGAAAGAGAGCATTTCCTATACAAGTTAACAGCTTTAAATGACTCACTGTAAAGCCTAAAAAAACATTGCAGCGCAGGTCCCACAGCTCAACAGTATAATGTCAAAAAAAAAAAAATTCCAGAAGGAACACCTGCAGCAATCAACTCTCAATCACAACAACAGTGACCCCATCCACTTCGTCATTTTCATTATGGATGGTGGCAGCACAACGTTAGATTAACACTACCTACCGAGTGCCATCTTAATTGCCCCTCTGCAGATGCAGTGAAAACATGTCATTTAGGTACTTCATAAACAGACTTCTCTTTGCAGGTTATCAAGACAGCCGCTCAGTGAAAACACACCCTCTTTTCCAATGCTGATGTGCAATTAAAATGGTTTTAGAAATCCTCTTTGACAGTCCAGGGCTTAGCCAAAATGTAAATGACATTAAAGGAGACAATGAATTTAATTTTGTTTAATGTCCCCTTTCGCTGATTCTCATTTACATCACATTTCCACATAAAGGGCTGACCTTATAAATACTGGCATTTGTTCAGCTTTTGGAGGTAATCACGGTTTTGCAAAAACCAGATGGGAGCACACAAATTTTCCGATTTGTTTCTTAGAAGGCCGAGGGAACCACATGTGAGACGTTCTAAGACTGCGGTCTTTTGTTTCTGGTAAACAACTTGACAACAAGTCAAGTGCACTCTGGGAAATGACCTCGTAGGTGTTCCACAAATGAACGATAACACAAAGTCATTTAGAAAATACAGGCTCACTAATGAGGGACATAACGGAAAGCTAAGCAAAATTTACATTAGGCCAATTTTTAATTGCATTAACACACGAACAGGTGCGGTGAGGCCTTTATAAATGAGCTAAATGAATAAAAGCCTCCCACAGCACAACCATGTGTGCTGACCAAAAAAAGAGACAAGGGGAAAAATAAGGGAAAAACAAGTCAATGTCATGAATTATTCAGTGGCTGGGCTGCCCTCCAAAGGTTAGTGCTCTTTGACCTTTGTGACAGGAAGTGAAAGGGAGTGCCGTAGCCGCTGGAATAAATGGAGTTGACATGTTTAGATCTGGTCCAGAATCTCGTTTGTGAATGGCAGCGTAAATTGACACAGGATGTTAAACTGTATGAACATACATTCAATTCTAAATTCATATATGGGTAGAATACAAACTGATATCACATTCTCTCTCTGTCTGTCTTAATTCTACTTGCATAAATTGCGCCAACCTCGCAGAGTAAAATGTGACCTTTGAACCCTGACACACAGAATGAGTCATTTTCTCTTCTCTTTCAACAACATGTGCTGTCTTATTACAAAATCCATGCGTAAGCCTGAACAATGTATCTAATCTTTCACACAAGAGAAGACAAAGTCAATATGCATGAGAGTGAAGACAGATACCAGACCAGGAGAGTCATCGCAAATTGAGTTATGTTTGGCTATACACTACATGCACTGTAAATGGGAATACCATCTAATCAGATATTGGGTACCTCATCACTATAATTCTAAAGACTCAAATTACCGACTGAATAAACCTACACCCCCACTTACTTTAAGACACCATTAACTTATAAATGTGACATCTGTAGCACTGCTGGATTTATAAAGGGGAGAGATGATTACACCAAACTGCTAAGTGATGCGGTCATAGCAAGAGTGCGCATTAGTCACTAGATAAATTTACTGTTTCTTTTATTTCATATAACCACCGACTGACTTCGATTTTTTTTTTTTTCAAATTGATGTTGGAATAAAGAAAAAAGTAAGCTCACACTACTGAAACACAATAGCCTTTTTTTCTGCAGCGCAAAATATGAACAGACTTTCCCAAAGGATATTTTAATTTGAGTCACAACACATATAAGCCCAACCAAATGCAACTAAAATAGGGCCTTTCTTCATCCAAAAAAGGAGTATGAATAATGCAAGGGCATCAAATGTAAGTGCTGAAATATTTAAAGACCAAGCAGTGCTGAAACTTTGTGACAGCTGTTGGGCCTATATCTAACCAACTTTTTTTTTAAAGAGAATCCTTCCTCTTTAAAAATCTGAGTGAAAATCTGTATCAAAACTCTGAGAGAAAATAGGGTAAACAGATGTCTGGCTTGACCGCAGGAAAATAGGACACATTTGGAATGATAAGTTTCCCAAACTCCGTTGGATATGCCAGATCCATGGGAACGCCAGTTAATGTCTTGCTAGATGCCAGCTAGCTGTGTGCGCTTTCCCCTCTTACCATCTGGGAAAATGTTACAGCGAATGAACGCCATCAATGATTCACTCCAAATCTGTTTCTTAAGGTTCGGCCATGCTACTGTTTCTCTAGGAAATGTGGCAGTGCTAGCATGGTTTTCATACTGTAATTGTAGACAGATGAGACATGCCTGATTCAACAATCAAACCTCTCCTCTAGGTTTATGTCACTCAACTATGTTCTACTCAATTGGAAATAATCAGTTTCTGCCAGCAGCGACCGCAGCACAGGTGCCTGTAATGATGTGCATGAGAAAATGACAGATGTAACAAAAATGGCTGTAAAACATGGAAGCTTTAACTAAAAGCTTACCCATATGCACAGCATGAACAGTCAAGTAATTGCGGTAAATAACCTTACGTATAGCAAGCCTACAGTGTGCTCTGATCGTGTCCGTAACTCTTGCTAAACCCTGCAACCTTTCACAAGCACCTCTCTCTGCAAGCCTCCTTCAGTCACTGGGAACCTGTGTGGGTCTGTTAGGGTGAGCTGACGGGCTCATAGTTACGACATGGAGACAATGGGAGGGTCTAATGAGGAACATATGCTTTTGTGTTTCAACAGAGCCGCTCATTGTGCAAGGAAAGGGATACTCTACTCCTATTCAGACTCGTCACAATGAAAATCCGAGCCCTCCCTGAGCCAGTTGAGCTTACAATATCCATCCGCTTCTTTTTTCCCTGTTCTTTTTTTTTCCCACCCCTCTTCTTGACTTTAATTCTCCATGCATTCATTTTGCTTATTGTACTTATGTTACATGTTTTGTCCCGCAGATTGAAGAACAATGGTGTGCGAAACTCTAAGCAGTAAAAAGGCAGCAAAGCGACACAAAAGCAAACATAAAAGCAGCGGAAATTAGGCAAAGTAGACATCTCAAGTTATATGTTAATGCTGGCACTATCGTGTCTTTGCTTACAAATGCACTTGACTTATAAATTAAGCAATCCACTTGGTACCAGATACAGGAAGAAAAGCCTCTATCCTGACATTTTCCTAAACATCTCAGTACTTTTCTTGCATATGATGGACTGGGACTGCCAAGCATAAATGCATAAACAACATACAAGCAGCATGCGTGCATATGAGGACATGCACGCTGGTGTGTAGGTGTCTGTCTGTTTGTGTCCTTGTCTGTGTGTGTGTGTGTCTGTGTGAGTTTGAGTTCAGACAGCAGTAGCTCTGGTAATCCATCCAGGCTCCCAGGGCAGCCAGCTCCTACTTCCTGATGCATGAGAAGCCGCTGGAGTGGAGTGGCAGCAACAACTGCTCAGCCCTATTTGATTACTAATAAGAGAGTTGTCCCCTCTGTCAGATACCAGGCATTCTCCACTAAGCAAACAGTGATTCCGGCTAGTCAAACATTAGCATTGCTGTCTCTCCCTACTACGTGGTGAGAGTTACATTGAGATCGACGCTCAAACTACACCCCCTACCTCATCCCTATATCCACCATGTGCACACATACACACACTAACTACCTAAGCATATTCAGACTGATCGGGACATATAGTTGCACAGTGTGAGAAAAATGTCAATGTCTGAAACAAGGCCATTTATCCTCCCTCTTTAGGAAGTGATGAAGGTAATATAAATGTGGCTGATGTAACTTCCCTGAAGGTGCAGAACAAAACAGCAGATAAAATGTTTATCCCTTCTAAAACGAAACTTTAATGGCATCTATCTCACGGCTAACTTGAGAGGAGGAAACAGTCAATGGAAAACAACTATTGACAGTGTAAGCATCACTGTCGTAAACAAAGAAGGGCTGCCAGCCAAATAAATGTGAAGTTGCCTAAGCTAATTAGGTGTATTCCCAGCATGATCCTCTAGTGATTGAACCACCTGTGATTGAACAAACCCTATCCAGGTGGTGACCGCCCCTCGGTGCACAGGTACCTGGGAAAGACGCCCCTCAGCCGCTCACATAGAATCACCCACAGTTCCCACCAGTTCCCAAACTGCGGGCCCTAAGATGCAAGTCAGCCCAACTGGGCCGTCTGGCACACTGGGAGGGAAATCATTTGTTCACTAGCTGATCCATGTGCCTGCTCATCCATTCAGTCACTCATCCATTTAGTCACTCAGACACTCACTCACTCATTCCCCATTCACAAACACAGAAGAAGCTGCACACGGCCTACCTGTCAATGATCACGGGGTCTGATGGAGTCTCGTTCCTGTTTCCACAGCTTTTCTTGTCACAGCATCGGCTATAGGAACATAGACAGTGTATTTCAGAACAAGCAACACTTTGCTAAATAAATAAAAATAAATAAATAATGCACACAAAACCACATACATTTATTAAGTGCTTTGGAGTGGTTTTGATATTGGGGGAAAAAATTGCCCTGAGATTTCCTTCACTCAATCTATCCATTCCATTGATGCTGATGGCTGATAAAAATGGTGAAAACAACATGTTGTGTTGTTTGGCTTAGTGTTGGAGGGGAGGGGAGTGGGGATTGGGCCAGGAGGCAGGGGAGTCACTTTTCACAGCTTCAGCTTTTGTTTACCTCTAATTGCCAAGCTGCTATTTCTGAGGGAGATGCAAGGTGCCACCCTCAACCAATATTTCTGTGGGGCATTTATCAATTATGGCCTCAAAAGCACTAATCTATCTTCCACCACATGTTTCAACCATCTCCTCCCTAAGCCTATAGCTAGCTTGCCTCTCACTTCTTTGATTGGGACCTGAATCAAAACTGCAAAAAATAAACAAATACATCATCCCAGCTTCCATTTGAATTGAAAACATATAAACATATGTGAATAAGATTGATTTATGCCATATGGTGCAGCAAGAAAAACAAAGATTTTGTGCAAAGCTACTGTCAGTCAACCGCACACAATTTAAATATGTGTGATTTACATGACTTTCTAGCAGCAATAATAAAGATGTGTTTTATAGCTAAGGTGCTGCAAAGCATTAGAGCAAAAAAATAATTCAAAAGCCAGTGTATTACAAGTCTAAAAATAAGATATCAGAAGATTATTCTTATTATTCTTATTATGTATATCTCATTATCTGTTAAAAGGCTGCAGTTAAAGTAGTTCTTCAGCAGCAAAAGGCACTTCTTCTTGACCAAAAAAAAAATTACCTCTAGTGCACGAGCATATTCAACATGTCACAAATAAGTGATGGATGCATGTTTAAATTGAGCGTGAGTGATGAGTTTATGCATGGAAAAAGACAAATCATTCTCAGCTCTCTTGCTGCACTTGCTCTCAACCAGTAACTTGAACAATGCACCGGTGCAACAAAGGAGAGGTTAACCGACAGTATCCGAATTCAATGTTCACAAAGCTCATGCTGAGCTCCACAATAACAACAAAAGGCGTTTTTCCTTTTAGTATCAGTGACACCGCTGAATAGCAGCGCAATATGAGAGGTTGAGATTTATGTGGTTAAATGACGCTAAAAGGCTCGCTGATCATTGTTGACAGGTGGGATCAACCGAGAACTGACTCTGTGCTAGAAAGAGAAAAAAAAACCTTGATACATAGCATACAACGTCTATGCATAACTTATCAGAAAACACATTGTCTCTGGCAGTCGTACATGATGAAATACAACTCTTAAAATATAAAAAATAAATAACCTACAAATTAAAAAACATAACTTGTGTACCGTGTCACTCACTGTTTATTATACATTCAATTTCCCTTCACTGAAAAAGACAGTCAGTTCATTTTCACTGTCATATTCATATTCATATCAAAGTTGAATCCCATCATATCAAAGTTAGAAATGACAGCAGCTCTCTCTCTCTCTGTGGTTGCTGAAGGACCACAGGACAGCCTGGATTGCTATATCACATCGTCAGTGTCACAACTTATTGAAGGGAGGGGATTACTTTTTGCCAGGATCTGCAAAACGGACAGAGCCAAAATAATGCTTACCTGCACATAATTTCATGAGTCAGAAGAACTCTGCACATTTCTGGGTTCTTGTCTTGGCCCTCATATATTATGGCCTTTGAAAGGAAATGAGATGGAAATAAATTGAAAACACAGTCATCTCTTGAACACATATTAATTCACATAAATTCAACAAATCATTAGACTAACTTATCTGCTATTTTTGCACTTAAAATAATAAAATAAATCAGGGCATGAATACACATGATGTCAGGACAACAGAATATATTACATGGGTCCAAGGGCTAAGTATGTAATGTGGTTAAGGTAATCACAGCAATCTATCTGTGTTATAAATTAAATTAATTAATATAAACATCAAAAACCTAAATAAACAATAAAAAAATAAAACTAACAAAAGAATAACTATGACTAATAAAAAATAATATCAAAAGCAATATTTCTAGTGGCAGCAATAATAAAAAAAATGTAATTATAAAATTAATGGTAATTTTTCTGACGATGATAATAATAAATTGTATTTTTTGTATTAATCTAGATAATATCCTGTGGCTCAGACAGGCAGACAGAGAAAGAGAGAGAGACAGAGAGGTTTTCATAAGGAGAGATCCAATAGAAGTGTCATCAATATGCTTATAATCTGGGGATATTTGGGGGAAAGTGTTAATGGGCAATCTGTTGTTTATTTTGAGCCGCTAACAATGATCTTTCTGTGGATAAAAAGCGGTGTCTGGCGGTACGGTTGAGTAATTTTTGAGCATTGGCTGAAACAGATGGCGTGGAGCTATCAGTTCTGCCGCTCTTCTCTCCCTCCCTCGATCCCTCCCTCCTTCTTCCATTTCTAAGGATAGACACTTCACTCCCTCGTATGCTGAACCGGCACCAAATGCAAAACGCAGGCAAGAACCAGCACGTAACTACTGACAAAATACTTCAAAAATAGCAAAAACAAAAACGCAATTAAGTAAACAGCGTGTTTCTTTATGTTTTGATGCCCTTAATAATGTGTAACTGTTTTTTTTTTTGTTTTGTTTTGTTTTTTGTGTGGCACGTTGGAGACCAATATGAGAGAGTGACTTTGAAAAAGTGACATATCTGAACCAGGTCGCATCACTCTCCGGCGTTTAAAAGCTGTCCTACTTGACCTGATGTGTTTTTTTGTCCTTTTATTTTATTTTCAGGAAACCGGGGCGATTATCTATATTGGTTTGATTTATGTCGCTATTTGCAGCTGTGGAAACAGAAATCCATAAATTGCTTGTTCTGCGTCATTGACTCAGATCATTCGCACAGGAATGTTGTCTGTGACCAGTGGTCCAGGCTTCACGGCTCTATTCTGAAGGCTCTGTGCCCCTGTATTAACTTATTACCAAATCCCATATTTAATAACAAAAGGTGGGATGCAGAGCTGAAATAAGGATGTCTGATTTTATTGTCATAATTATATTTACGTTTACAAATCTTTGCGTTGGCTTGAAATGTGCATTGAGACTTAGTAACAGCATTTTGTGCGCTGGGCTCTGGGTTAAGAGTCACTCACATGTTTGTGAGGAAGATGAGTGAAATGCACCTCTGCAAAAAATATTCATATTTATATTAATAAATATAACACTTGATGCAAATGTTTAAAAAAAAATGTGTTTAGAGCGTCACCTCTGACTCTTTGCAGGGGAAATCTAATCAGATCATATGGAGCCGGCATAGTGTTTAAATTTTAATGTTGGACAAACTGAGCCTGCAAAGAAACTCTGGCAGAATTGACGTTAGAGTCTTGCAATATGATATGGCCAAACGTAAACAGGCAAAATGGAAGCTGTCTCTTCCCGTTACCCCGTAATTTGATTTTATTTTGCGCCACAACTGCATTTTGCAACCAGGTTTTTCTTTATTATAATTATTAGTTTTATTTTTTGAAAAGCGTTTTGGTGCGCGTATCTCATGGGTGACCATTTGCACGGCGTGTTAAGGTTTTGCACAAGTCAACCATGGATGTGAGCAGGGTTGCACTGTGCATGAAAACAAGTGTAACAGCAGCTTACCTGCTTCGTCATGGAATCGATTAATCGTATGTAAAGATCCTGTTCTGTTCTGACGCCTGGGGAGAGAAAGAGAAGACCACTTGTGAATTTTGAGGAATTGTAGGCAATAAATCAAAAATTTAAAAAAAACAGAAAGCCCTCCAAAAAAAAGTTTAGTAACATGTAATAAAAAGGAGCTCAGGCAGTGATCACATTTTTGAAATTATCAGACTGCTATTATTATTATTATTATTATTATTATTATTATTATTATTATCATCATTCTTTTTATGTGAAACTAGTGTTGGATAAATTTGCACGTGTTTGCAGAATATTAATGACAGTTCAACTCACCATTGCTGTACAATAACTGAAGTTTGTAATGTATCCCATTGTTAGTTTTTTCACTGGTTGGTTCCTGCAGGAGAGAACAGTTTGTGAAAATCAACATCAACAAAACAACTGCATATTACTCCAGCCTACCACATGTTTGTGTGTTTGGAAAATTTATATGTAGGCTTTAGTTTCTGTGCAAAAGAAGAGAAACAGCCTTAGTGGTTAAAACGACTCTCTGTCATCAACGAATTGAGTTTTTTTTCTCTCTTTTTTTAAATCAATATTACACGTGAGTAACACCCTTAGTAACCCATTGCCATTTCAGAGAACATAATTTCGATACATGTGCTGATTATGTAGGTACAGGGGTGCATGTATTTCTCAAATACACCGCTTACTTTTTCTTTCTCCACAAAGTCCACAAAAGCTGTCCTTTCGATCTCCACGGGCTGACCCTGTCTGTCATACAGCGCCAGGACGAAATGGAAAAAATTGGATTTTCTGAGGTTGGAAGGGGGCTGCTTTTCATAATGTGCCCGTGCCAAGCCGACACCGCTGCGGGGAGAAAACAAGAGACCATCTCGGTTAAGCACCGGACACCGGGGATACTAGATGATGGAGAAGCTGATGGAAACATTGGAGATGCAGAAGCACACTTGAGTACGGGGGAGATTTCTTGATTTGTCACAATAATGGGTAATCTGATGTAATGAAAGAAGGGAAAGCCGAAGGGGGGGCATTTATTGGGAGACCGTAATTGATACAGAGTATTCAGGGGATTGAGGGGTCGATATGATGAGGAGGGAATGCGTGAGAAAAATCAGATGCTTTTGGCATGCGTACCTTTGGGCGGCTGTGTTTGCATCCACCACCCCAGCTGTGTGCATCCAGGAGCGGACCGAGTTCAGTCCACCCAGCGGTTCCTCCTTCATCGTCGTCCCACCCCGCGGTATAGTTTCCTGAATCCCAAACATTTAGGACAATTTGCGTGAAAAAGAGCCTCCTGCGAAATTAGGGGAAAATAAACGTCCAAGCGTGTTATCCTTTAGGGTTGTTTTTTTTTGTCACGGGATAAGTAGCGAGAGCCGATTCAGACTTGCGAGGGAAAACCCGGTCCACAGGTCTTGCCTCCCTCTTCAGTCCGTCCGATGTGAACAATTCTCAAAGTGCTGTACTTAGTTTGAGCGGTATCCACAGACTGGAAAAGTGAATTGTTCAATAGACAAGATTTTTTTGTGTCGCTATTGTTCCTCTTTGTTTTTCTTTTTTTCTCTCTCTTTTTTTTGTGCTATTCACAGAAAAATCGATGGCAGTTGTTTGTGTTTGTGGGTGATGCTGCTCTCAAAGTGCCCACATCCCTGAAGCACCGCATCCAAAACCTTCAGGACTTCTTGTTGAATAAAAAACCCACTCCTGAAAAGGTGCTGCTGCTTCTCCACAAGACAAACACAGGCAAAGGCTGATCACCAGTGGAGGTGTTCCTAGTACACAGGAGAGGTGGATAAGGGGCCCTTTCGCGTCGTGCAGGATGGATGGGAACATGCAAAACTAAGCCCTCTTTCCCCGAGGACTGAAATCTTTCCCGGGAGCCAAAACTCTAAACCCACGGGAGAGGCGCTGTCAGAATATGACGCTGAAGGGGCGTGGTTTTGACCATATATGGCGCTCTGACGGTTCCTGTCAGGCAGTGGCGCTCCACTGTACGGCTGCAGCCCTATAGTGCAGCAGCCTGAGAACACTCATTCGCTCCACTTTTCCTCTTGCTTAGGCCCTATATGTGGTGAGTTTGATTTTTTTAATGATATGGAAAATTCAACCGGGTGTAACCATCACACATAATGAGGGAGAAAAAATAAAAAAAATAATACCTAATAACAACTCGGAAATCAGGATTCATTGCTGATTATTTATAGCTGGCCTAATGATAGTAATGTCTCTGATTATTTTTCTTACATTGAATTAAAATTAATACTATCTGACATATGTATTCGATTAAGTGTGTTATTATTAGCCGATTACAAATTGACTTGATGAGATTGTTTGTTCACTAATGTGTCGAAAGCATCTCAATCGCTGTGCGAATACAGGCCATAAATCATATTCCAATAATGGCAGATCATGTTTCTTCATATAGCTGATAACATTTTTATTGTGCATTTTGAACTATACGCTGCGGGTTATTTTCCTGAAATTAAAGTGTAATTAATATAAGGCTGATTTCAGAGAATCAGACATGATTATAAATCTATTAATTTACATAAACTTATCATTGTGATTATTTTAACAACAGCTGATTGACTTTCAATTGTATCGCAAGACAAGACATTTCTTTGTTTATTGCGGTGAGCATAAAATATGAGCAAAGTTTGCAAACCAGACATAGTTTCTTAGCAACCCCATTATTAACGTGAAAACAAATCAATCCCACCACTGAGCCATTTACAGAAGATAAAGTCAGATCTTCTGACCTCTTTTTATGGGCTAAAAAAAATCATCAGAGCCACAGTGTCTCCTGACATTAAACAAACTTCAGGAAATCCATGGTTCTGTGTCTTCTTTATTTCATGCACGTCCTGTAAAATCAGTAATAATCAGAAACATCTTAATCATTTTTAAAAAGCCAACTGCCTACATGTCCGACTCTGTCCGAGAGGGGCAAGCAGGCAATTCGGTTCATTAGTGGTGAAAAGGAGGAGAGGATGGAGGGAGAGAGGGGAGGGTGCGAGGAAGAGAGATGTGTGCTATATCCTGAGCAATCTATCTAGCTGGTGCTGAGGGTTAATAGCTGCTGCCAAAGATAAGTGAATTATAAGCTGTTGCTTTCACCTCTACACAATCTATTGCCAAATTGCCCAGTCACAAAATAAGGGTGTGGATTTTTGACTTTTTTATTATTTAAGAGAAATCTAAGTTTCAATTTGTGGGGAAAAAATATAAGGAAAAACTCAAACTCCTCTTTGTAAAAATGTTATCTTTTTTCCTCTTGGATGAAACAAACCGAGACGCATGTTGTAAATGTTTTTGTCTGTTCTACCGAGATTGCAAATATCTTTTTTGCACAGAACTCGCTGTGCTTTTTTGCACAGTTTCAAGTCGCTTATTAGAACTTAACCCCTGATTACACGCACCAAGGCGATTTAAATCTGATTATCAAATTAGGAGACTTTGAGACAAATCCTCTTAGATCTGATACTGTTGACTGGAGAGGGAAAATGGATCTCCACACCCGTCACGTAGGTAACGATGCTGTCCTGAAAGGGAGTTTTAAACCGTATTTGACAACAAATGCAGCTGCCCCGCTATTTCAGAAGATATTAGAGGAAAATGAATGCAAATCTGTGTGCAGGAGCCATCTGGACGTGGAGAGAGGGAGTCAGCTGCTCCACACACTGAGGCGCGGAGCCTGAATCCGTCTCAGCTCATTCTGTGGGATCATCTGCGTGGTGGGCTTACACCGTGGAAAATGCGCTCTCCATCATTAGGTGAAATGTTAGCATCAAAATAAAGGAAATGCTGATCCCCGTTTGTTTTAGTGGTTGCATGCATGAAAACTTTGCACGGGCGAGGAATTAGAGGATCTTAGCCACATTTTCTCATTTCTCACCTAAAAAAGGCGTGTTTCTCAACTGCACGCTGGAGGTAAGTGATGGGTGACAAGTGCAAACTATTTGCCTGATCCCTGCATCTTGGCCGCATTGAGCCAGGCTGAATGCTCATTTAAATGACCGGTTGATGACACGAGGGAGGGGGGCTGTTATCTCATTCTTCTATTCAGTGGCCACAATGAATGAACCCCCACAGATTTGGGCCTGACCATTGATATAAAAACCAAACTCCTCGGGACGCGTGGCTCCCAATAAAAATGTACACGATGACTTTGAAGACCTCCAGTCTCGACGGGACGAGCCTCCTCCGTATTGAGGGTGACGTCTTCTTTTTTGTGTGAATTTACGGGGCGAGGCCCTCATGATCTCCTTAAATTTGCATGTAAATGGCGACATCAGCCTATACGCGTGCCAGGGGCCAGCGGGCCTCCCAGATGTCAAGGCAAAGTCAATCAGCCGGCCGCTGCCCAGCTGTCCATCGATGCACTTTATTGGGACAACACTTTCATTATGCTCACCTGCATTGTTTCCTAATGAATTGATTGGAGAGAAAAAAGGTGGAAATGAAATCTTATTAGGAGCCACCAAGCAAGTTCGCTCAAGGCTTTATCACAGAGGCTGTTTTAAAGTGATCTTTTTTTCCGATTAAATATTAATCAAATACGCCTACAGTTACGCATCATTTCAAATTCCATATGGACTAAATAGGCAGACAGCCCACTTATTGTTTACAGCAACTCAGCCATCTTTATTCCATTGTTTACGCCTATAATTTTTAGATAGTCGATATGGTTGAACTTAAAATGAATTTATTTATGTGTTATATGCATGATATGTGCAAACTACGGCGCAACAAAAAAAATCACCTTTACTACAGCCTTGGTTTTAAAATTCACATCACTTGTGGCTGTACTTTAAAAGAGCAGCTACCGTTTATGGGCCTACTCGTGTAGCTGCGGAGACGTTTCTCATAAGTGGGGAAAAATTAGACAATATTTATAATTACTTTTTTTATTAAATGACTTAAATGCTTTATTCCTCATTACAAATGGCAGCCTCCATGCAAACTTTGTTTCCAGAAGCTATTAACGTCAGGCCTAATAAATGCACGGCCGAAATTCGATATGACATATTCAAATATTATATTAAAATACAGCTTACGCGTTATTTTTAATTATAGGGGGTAAAACACAAATGGCCAAGAGTGATGAGATCAATCATGTGGGCCATTCGTGTCAAGTAGTTATAGCTGAAAGACGGACAGCGCCCCTCGTTGGTTACACTTGAGATCATTGTGTCGATATGAGGCAGCTGTGTTCCTCAGTGACAAGATAGCTAAATCTCAACATAGGTTTATCTAACACCCCCCACCCCCACCCTCCACCCACCCGAGGAGGCAAAAAGAAATGGTTGTTTATGTTCAGGATAAATTATATTAAATAAAACAACATTTTGCAAGAGAATTATTTAAACTGCTGACCAGCATGCACAGAAGACTGAAAAATAAATTAAATAAAAATTCATATTTATGATATTGAGGAGAGCAGTGCGCGTAATTGTTTTCCATGCTGCAAAAGGATTTGTCACAAACGCTAAATTATTATTATTATTATTATTATTTATTATTATTATTATTATTATTTTGTGTGTTTCTGATGCTGTTGTGTCAGATAAATAAACACAACCATATTATTGTCTGACATGCAGCTCCTGTGACCTCACATTTCGTCACTAACTTCTGTCAGAGTGCTCATGTTAATTGTGTGCAGTGGTGAGTTCTGTCAAGGGCATTGCCCGTGCGCACGATTTGCATTTCCATTCTGCTGTGGAAATGATGAGAGAGTTTCTGCGCGGTTTAGAGCCTCGCGGCGCAATCTGTGGGCGAATTACATTTAAAGAAGGCGAGAGAAATTAAATAAGAAACCGAGACCACTTCAGGGCTATTAACATCTAAAATATCCCCTGGAAATTTAGACCAAAATACACATGACCAAATATCCAGCATACCTTCGCTCTTACACAGCCCCGTCGTGATTGCGTCCATCACTGCTTTGTAGGCCTAATCTTTATTTAAAAAAAAGTTATCACGCAGCCGCACGCTTCTCAGTGGCGTTGATGGACGTGATGTAAATTTGATTATTCAGCCCTAAATCGGAACATATAAACTTGTGATGTGGGCGCACTAATACCAAACGGACTGTGACACTCAAAAAGGGGTGCAGAAAATCTGACTTTGAAGGTCATTTTAAAAAATCTCATCAATAAGTATGACATGAGCACATGTTGCATTGGGCAATGTGGCCTCCAAAACGGGAGGCATCAGCTTTAACCTTGTTTTTATTTTTTTTGAGTGCATGTGCCTGTGCATGACCACAGAGCAGCAGTGCCTCAGCCCTCAAGAGAACTTTAATTTGCCTGTTGACCCCTGTGATGGAGCTACTGTCAACTTATAGTGATAGTGCCCCACCTGCCATAGTCCAATAATTCCCAAGTCACTCACATGAAAATGTACATTTTCTACATGTTGCATTAGAGCATATAATTTAGTTCTGCAGGGATTATTATTATCATTAAGGCATACAAATGTGATGGTGATTGGCAAGGTATGAGCAAAGCAGTACAATTCATTACCACTCTCCCACTGAATTTTGATTTCAGCCATAGATCCTTATTAATATTGAACTGTGTTACTATTAACAGAAATGTTAATTATGATGTCAAGATGGAGAGAGTCAAGGTGAAAGCTGCACAGCAATAGCTAAAAATAATCCATGCCAGCCAGAGTACAGTATGATCCTGCAGAGGAGTGTTACTGGCAAGGGACCTTTTTGCTGCAACAAAGAGGTGGAAAAGAGGAAGTAAATGAATTAGAGTACAAGCCAGATTTTGTCTTTGTTTCATCCACACTTGTCCTGTCCCTATTTTCCAACCTCTCCCTTTTCCTTGCTATTGGAAGTGCTGCAAATTGTATAATGCTG